TATAACAGAAGCCATTTCTAGTGGCCCCACTGGACTTAGGTGAGTATTCAATGGGACAACAATTCCAAATATGACAGGAGCTCTAGCTAGTTATGATTATACTAGTTTCTCACTCAAGTTTTAATGACTTCATGTACAGCAGTCATGTAGTTTGTTTTCACCTCAGTAACAGGATTTATTACTTACAGTGGAGAATAACAGTAATTGGATATATCCAGTGCAAGATTTTGACAGAGATCTTAAGGGTGTTACAGGATGTAGTATCAGACTGAACTAAAAACTTCTTTAGCAGGTGTTGAAAGCAGGCCACCAGCATTAAACACAAGGACAGTGGTGTATGAGCTTTGATGTCTAGGGCTGGCAAAGTGAGCTTAACAACTTCCACTCCTCAAAAGTCAATGTCTTCTCATACTTATTTTATAGGAATGTGCAGATGTAGGTGTCAGCTTAATATTAACTGTAAAAAAACTCTGTATTAGACAGGATCTCCTGGAGCTAGGCAAGCTCAGACTGAAGTGACTAAAGTGAGAAATTACCCTGTATGGCAAGGGAACTCTATTCTGTTATTGCAGAATAGATTTTATTTCAGTGTGTTACTGATCAGTATTTATTTTTCACAGTCTTGCAATAAAGAAACAGAAATGTACTTATTGGAATGAGAATAGATGAAATGCAATAAGGAAAGGTGAGCTATCATGGAGAGATGAAGAGGATCAACCATGTAAAGGCTACAATCACTCTTTCATATACCAATCTGTCTCCTTTCCCAGAGTTTCATCTTCAAATTGTTCACCTTTACCACAAAATTTTCTTGTCGTAGTTGAAACTGGCATATAAAAAATAATGCTTTTTTTTCTTGCTAGGGAAACAAGATCTAACCTGGGCTGCTTCTGTTTAAGGTGTAAAGGCAGTGAACTTGGCATAAGCCTCATCCAAAGCCCACAATAAGAAGCAGAATTCTCTCTGTCGTGTCTTTGGTATTATTGAAGTGTTTATTACCATTCAGGGATTTGATTTTGTTAACTTTTTGTGAGAATTTTTTTTTTGATTTGTGGAAGATTTAACCATCCCTGGAGTTTATTCTGAATTTGATTCAATGCATGTCAGAACTTACAGCCTGAGAAGAAAGGCACTGAACTTGCCAAATATCAGGTCATTAGACAAAACCTTCACCTTTGGCATCTGATCTTGGTTAGTTGCACAGTTTGATTTTCAGAGAAATGAACAAAATATCCTAGATATGCTTACAACTGATCTGACCTTTATACAAAAAAACCATGAACTTTGTTAGGAACTCTAGATTTGCAATGAGTACAGATAAGTTTTATTTGGCATGGTTTTGCTTCATGCACGTTCACTTGATTCTAGAGATATTGGAATGGAAAAATCTAAACACCACTACTGTAGTTATGACAGCACAAAAACATCCCTGTTCCTTGTCATTTGGAGCTTAAAATTAGAAAAGTCCAAGACAAAAAGGGAAAACCCAGAATCTTTACACATTTATGCCAAATCTGTTCTGTTTGTGCTACTCTAAGATTTAAAATGCTGGATAGAAGTGTTTTTGCACTGTGCTTGAGCTGATCTAGAGGCAACAAACTGGCAGTTTTTGCCATTTTAAAAACCTAAAAAGTAAAGAGTGAATTAGTCTCTTGGAAGTCTTAGAAACTGTGAGTTAGGATGTGTGTTCCAGTAAAAAATAGACCCAGGACAGATTATGGTGTTCGTTTATGGTGTTAATTACTATACTTTTCCTTTTTCTAAAATCAGCCTTCTTTTCAGGTCAGCTAAAAAGGTAAACAAGGCAGGAATTTAATTCAACACATATCTTGAGCCTACTCTAGCAGCTATGAGGTGTAGGAAACCTAAGCCACACAACATGCAGACCTTGACATCTGCAGCACACAAGCTCTGAACAGAGCCATGCTTACTAGTGCAGATGAAGGGCTTAGAAACAATAGGAATATAGATACAGAAAAGACTCTCTATAAAAGACTCTTTTTTTAAAATCAGTAGATACATTTACTACTTAATTTTTTTTAAATGGGCTAAATAATAAGAAAATTAATTTCCTCTTAATTTTAATTAGACTTAAAAGTCATGAATCTGTACACTTAGGGAAGAGCTCACATCAGTTTCTTATTTTACTGCTTTCTTAGGTTCTCCAGACTCCCTTTCAACAGAGTCCTCCTGCTTTGATGTCTTGCTCTCTACCCAGATTGCCAGAAGGCTTTCAGTTGCAAATGCAGGTGTTTTCAACTGTTAGGTATATTTGTGTTGTATTATTCATCACTTCAATTAAAAACTGTATTAGTAAGACACTTATTTTACACAGAGGACAAAACAGGGATAATTGGAAAGACAGCACACTGGATGTAGAGGAAGATGTTGTTTAGTGAGACATGTTTGGCAGTCGAGGAGCCAGGTTTGCATCTACCTTGCTGCTTTGCATTTGTTTCATATATCAGTCATTGAACCTTTAAAGCACTGTTTTTCTAACAATCTGCCTTCCCCATCGAGCTGGTATCTGAAACTAATTGAACATGGTTCTTGAGAAGTACAACTCTCTTCACAGACAGCACCTACAAATCATCATTGCATGCAAAGCTTATCTTCATATTGGTATTTTTTCCTAGTTTTAGTTTTAATACTTGAGGAAACTGGCGTGTGTGAAGCCAGGTCTTCCCTGAGCCGCTGAGCATTACTAGAAATGCCGGTGAATGTATCTGCACCTCAAGGGCTCATTACACAATAAAATGAACACCTTGGTCTTTCTCCCGGCAAGGACTTCTCTGTAACACTTGCCCTGTCATTCAGAGATAGCTCTGTGTGCCATGTAGACAAAGCAGAGGGATGTCCATTGAAGATGATGAGTTATGACTTTGCTGAGAGTTAGAGATATGCAGTAAGCCTGCTCTTAATGCTGCCAGCTGCAGAGGGCTGGTATTCACCTTTCTGGTCTGCTCACCACCTTCAGAAATGGGGGCAGAGCATTGCCAGTGAGAAAGAACTAAAGCTGGACAGTGAAGCAGTATAAAAGATATGTACCAAAGATGGTAAAGGGATGAGGGAGAATCAGGGCAGGGCAGGATGAGGAAAAGGGCATAAATAAACCCTTCAAAAGCAGATAAAATACCAGAGAATTATTTTTCCCTTCTTCCCATACAATATTCCTGATCCTTCTTTTCCTCTGTCAGCCTTCCCTAGCTGGACATTATGCTCTGTGCACCCCCATCTTCCAGGACACCTGAGAGCCTCCCATTTTAACACCTAGTAACCCCGTCTGCTTTGTGTTTGTTAACACAAACATGGTCTTGGGCTGTTAAATGACAGTAAAGCAGTTCCATATTTCATATGGAACTCAAAGGTTCAGAGGCACCTTTTTGATCTGTGTGCATTTGCTCATGAAGACATGAAACTCTTCTTTCTTCTTCTCCACAGAAGCCTCAGCAAATGGGCATGCTTAAAAAGCACACTGCTTAGTACTAGGAGATGGGAATCTCTCCTGCAGCCGCCTCCTCACACCAATAACACTGCCAGGGAGTGGTGAAGCCTGTTGTTTTACAGCTCCAGGTTGTGCCTGACTGGAAACAGAGGGCTGTTGAGTCCAGGGCCTGACACTGGTCAAGGAAGCAGCAAATCATTTTATCCCCATGGATGCGAGGGAATTCTTCCTTAAAAGCAGGTCTCATTTTAACTTCTGGAAAATGCTTAAATTCTGGTTTCTGGATTTAAAACAAAATAGCCTCTGAAAAGTTTAGGGCAGTGAGGAATAAGGTAACATTTCTGTTACCTGTTAAGCATACTGTCTTCTGTTGAGTCTTGCTGGGTTCATGGCCTCAGTCGTCTTCTTTGGTAGTGAATTCAACCATATATAATACAAATGTTACCTACAACAAAATTGTGAGATACCAGGGACCAAACTGACATTATTCAAAGCAAATAGAGACTGGATTTTTAATTAATTCTTATCTTTCACTAATTTCTTTCTTCAGGTCACGTTTCTTCCACAAGTCTGGAACTGTTTCTATAGGCTTATAGTCTGACACAGGCAAAGGGGAGGAGGTGGGATTTACATGGTTTAAAAGGGCTTTACTTCTGCTGTGACTGTAGAAGTGGAGCACAGCTGGTCTTGTGGGCTGAGTGGATGATGGCCTGTGAGACACTCGTGTATCAAAAGGCGTGTTCCTCGGGGAGTCATAGCTGTGCTCTGCTCCCAGCCACCCTCAGCCTTCCACCAAGGTTTTCCCAGGAGCTGCTGGAGCTCGTGGCCGTGTCAGGGCCAGCCGAGGTGGCCAAGAAGTCCAGCGGCTGCCACCACCGCAAGGCCCGCTGTTGGCAAACCGAAACCACGGATTTTCCCTTATAAGGGCCGCGTTAAGCTTTTGCAAACTGCCTCAGGCAATAGCTCCTCGACCATTTTGAGGCGAGTTGCTGAAATTCATACATTTGGCCGGTGGGCTGGGCTGAGAGGAGCCTGCGTACAAGGCTTCGCTCTCCTCGCACCTCTCGCCGCCTCGGCCAGGCGAGGAATGCCTGGACCGCGCCCGACTCCGGGCTCGGTCGCTGCCCGACGCCAGGGCGGGCTGTGCCGAGCCGAGCCGAGCCGAGCCGCGCAGAGCGGAGCCCCACCGAACCGTGCCCGGCTGCGGCGCCCGCACATGCCCAGTGGCGGCGCGGCTGACGGGGCAGGGGCGGGCCCGGTGCGGGGGGCGGCTAAGCCCGGCTCGGCTCGGCTCGGCTCGGCCCGGCTCGGGGCGGCGCGGCGGCTCCCGCCTCGCCCGGCGATGCCTGAGCGCGGCGGCGGCGGTGGCAGCGGGGGGGCGGGCGGGTAGCGGCGGCGCGGCCGCGGCGTTGCTGCCCTGCCTTTCCCTGCCCGCGCTGGCCCTTCCCCCGCCCCTCCCCGCTCCGGTGCGCGACTCAGCCGCCGCTCCGGGCAGGGAGGAAGGGCTGGGAGCCGCCTCCCGCTGCCCCCGGCCGCCCCCTCCCCATGCAGCCCGGCCCGCCGCTGGGAGCCCTCCCCGGGGGGATGTTTCTGCGGCCGCTGCCGGGATAACCGGCGCGGCGCCCGCCCCCGCCCCGGACGGAGGATGCTGCCCGCGCCGTGGCGGGTTCCAACTCGGGCAGCAGCGGCCGCGTCCCCCTCCTCGGCTCCGGGCAGCGTCGCCGGGGAGAGATGAGTTCACGGCACCAGGCGGACTGGATCCCTTACAGGTAGGGGGGACCCTGCCAGGGGGCGGCGGGTGGAGCGGAGGCACCGGTGCTGCCCTCTGGGCGGGAGCCGCTGCCCCTCAGCGGGCTCGGGGGGTCACCGCCGGAGCCTGTGCCTCGTCCGCGGGGCCGGGGCGGCCGGACCCCCGCCCAGGCGCGGCGGGGCGGCGGCGGGTCCCGCCGCGGGGAAGCGGGTCGTGGACCGGCCCGGGTGGGTGCTCCCAAAGTGGGGGACACGGTCCCGCCTCCCAACTTCGGGCCGGTCCCGCTCCGCGAACTTGGGGGCAGGTCTCGGGGAGAGCTGTCAGCCCCGCGGGGAGAGCGGACAGCCGCGCTGCCCGGCCCCGGGCGGGCGGAGCGCTGCGCCCTCAGTGGCGGCCGCCGCCCCTGGGGCAGCCTCGGGCAGCCGGCCCCGCGCTGCCCCCGCTGCCAGCCGGCCCCGGGAGCGGGGCTGCGGGAGCGGGCGGGCTGCGGGGCGGCTGCCGGCGGCGGTGCCGCCATGGCGGGGAGCGGGATCGCCATGGCAGCGCCCGGCCCGCCGCTGCCATTGGCTCCGCCGTTGCCATAAGCTACGGGAGCCGCGGCGCGGCGGCCGCCCGGGAGGGAGCCCCGGGAGCCAGCGGGCCCGGCCCGGCCCGGGGTGTGCGGAGACCCCCTGCCCTCCTCCGTCGCACAGCCCTGTCCTGCCCCGAGCGCCCGCCCCGGGTCTGGAGCGGGAGCGTTTGCCGCTGTAACCAGGGAGTAGTTTGTGTCTGACTTGCCGGTCCGAGGAGAAACCGAGCTAAAGGTTTCGCTCCGGGCGGGATAGGCTGTGTGTCGTGGAACAGTTATAAGGCCGTTTCTGAATCTGCTATTCGGAGTGACATTAACGTTATGGGTTGGTGTTTGGTGGCTTTTTTTTTTGTTGTTGTTGTTGATTTTTTGTTTTTGTTTTGAGTTTTATTTAAAGTATCTTTTCCAAACTGGATTATTACACAAAGAAATCATGCTCTTCTGGATGCGACAGCACAGCATGTCTGTTTCGTTAGTTTATTTGTAAATAAGCCGAGGTAGATACAGCAACATAAATATTTGTTTTAAATGTTGGTGGAGAATCATGGAATTAAAAATATTTATGGAATAAAATTAATAAATATTAACAAAACCAGCTGTTTAAGCAGGTCAGCTGTAGTTTGCCCCATTCTCAGTGGCAGCATTTGTAGCAGGCATATGCCACAGTGATTGCAACATAAACACAAATAAATCACTCCTTATACAGGAAAAACATCCCTACGATAGCTGCACCAGTGGAAGTTTGTTGTTTTGATATGTGCATGTGATAGTTCAAATCAATAAAAGAATCAGAAAGAAAGAAACCTGATTACAGTGAACCTGAGAATATTGCCACTCTCTCTCCAATAGCACTTTCAACCCATGTGATTTGAAAAGACGTAAGGAATTGGCAATAAGGCTACAAAAATGACTAGTGGATGCATTCTGATGCAATTTGAAGCCTTGTAATGAAGGCAGAAATACCAGAGGAACAGCTGTTCATGGCTCTTCCTAGCAGCAGTAGAACAGTTTCTCCACTCTCTCGCTGTACACAAGGCTCTGCAGAGGCCAATGCCAAAACTTTGCTGAGGGTTTTTGTAGCAGTGGCCTTGAAGAAGGAAGTAAAACATCTCTTCTTTTTCTGCTCAGTGCAGCTCAGAGAAGCAAAGGGAGGCAAAACACTAGATTTTCAGAGAAACACAGATTTGATGATACTCATATCTTTTCTAATATAGTATTCTTCTTGAATGTTAACCATTTGTTTTATGGCCAGGAACTGCTGAGGACTACCCAAAACCAAAAGGCAACCGAACCATGCTCCTGCTCTGAAATGCCTTTCTTTAACCTTCTAACATAGCATTCTCTCATGAATTTGACTCATTTTTCAGTCTTCAGAGCTTATTTGTGAGTTAGAGGCAAATCTCATTGAACTTGAATGTTTAAAGAATCCTTCAGGATCCTCTAAACTTACCTTCTGAGGAAGCAATAGATAGTTTCTGAATGCACATGTGACTGAGTTTACATGTGTAAACACTGTATTAGTAAATTAGGTCAAAGTACAATTTTATAGGAGCGGAATACACAAGAAGAGGAAGAGACCTGATGTGCACCCCTTGGAATAATTCATCTTCTCTCCGAGAGCGAAATGTCTCACACTTATCTGCTCCATTGCTTCAGATTCTTGTTTACTGTAGTGAGTTCAATCCTTGCTAACTCTCAGAGCCTAGAGGCCAGTTTGCCACCTTCTTTATGGTCTGGGTGACATGTGACAGCCAACAATGTCACTGCTTCTAGTGTAGGGGACAGAGCACAGGCTGTTGGGCATGCTGAAGTCTGTAAAGACATATGTGACATAGCCTGAGCCCTGCTGATGTGCAGTCTGCTAGAAAATGCTGCAAGTCCATCTCTGAGCTTGGCAAAACAGTTTCAGCTTTGGCATGGACTTTGAAATGGTGGCATAACTCCTAAACCTACACCGTTCCTCCTAGCAGTCGAATGTGCATGCAGCTATATACCTGAATTAATTCATGCAGAGAGGTATTTTATTTTTTTTAGTAAAATGGCATATTTTTCCTTACAAGTGAAATGAGGCAGTGAATCAGTTCCATGTGTGTCGTGCACAACTCATTAAGCAATACACCTGCATGTCCACAACTCACAAACTTCTACTTCCCCTTTTAAGATGCTGAGAACATTTTGAGTGAATTAAGAAAAAATAGTAGGCAATTCTTTCAGTGTCAGTGCTGGATTTTCATGTGAGGTGGATAAAAGATTCATATTATTTGTGAGTTTGCATTTTTAGCATTTTGCCCTTAATGTCTTTTCTTCTCATATGTATTCTGCTTTTGAAACACTAATAGTCATAGGATGAGGAGATTTGGGTTTGTTAATGTTATGAAAAATAATTGGGAAATTGGTTTTTAAAAGTGAATGTATTGTATTTGTTTTCATGGAACACGTTTCATAGATAGGAATTCAAGCATGATGAGGCACTTGCATGAAGCTACACACCAGGTACAATGTCCTAGGAATTCTTTAAATTGAACCCATTTTTAACAATGTCTCTGTTCTTTATTTTAAGAAATCAAAATACTTCAGACTCAATTAAAAAAAAGCGGTTGCAGTCCATGTAGCTGCCCCAGCCCCAAAGGTGGTTTCTAATGGCAGTTAGGAATAAGATGTAGTTTCTTGAGGAATTATGTTCTCAAGCACAGTAGTGTTTTCCTTTGGTATCCTTCTGCAGTTTCCAGTAAAAATACAATGCAGAAGTATGTGGGAATCATTACAGATTCACAGGAGTTCAATTTTTGTTCAAAAACATATTTTGGTTTTGTATCTTTTTCCTGAACTCATTTTTAATTTATAGAATTTCTTAAATTAACATACTCATTTTTATTTTATGCTGATGTGTCTTGAATAAGTGAACATGTTCACCATACTGTATTACTACAGTCAAATGAAACTGTTGCTCGCTAAGATAAAAATATCAAATCCAGTCACAGAGAGGCCCCAGTCCCTATTATTTATTCTTGTATTTTCACTTCCTTCTCTAAGTTCTTTAACTACCATAACTTAAAAGGCAGCATTTACCAAACCAGTTAACCTGTTCCACGAGAAATATATCAACACTGTCACCTAAAAAGCGCAAGCCACGTAGGAATCAATTTGCTGCAAGTCCCCAGAGTTCTCTGTAAAGTGCCTGTGTGCTGCTGCTGAGCCTTGACTTGAGTGGCTAAACCTGCAGTAGCCCCAGGGGAACCCATGGGCTGTGCCGTGGGGGGCCTGGCACTTTGCACGGAGGGCGCTGTAGAAAGCAGATCACACAGCCTGCATTTGCAGTGGCATAATGTGTCCTGATATGTACATGATGATGGCAGTAATATCATTATTTTATTTGTGACAGGTTTTATTATGCTCAATTTTTGTAGCTTTCGTGAATTTGCTCTGAGGTTTTAAGGCTGTGCTTAGATATTGCAGCTATAAACAGTCACAAGTTATTTACTTGCAAGGGGAAGGATGAAAATTGCGGAGCACAGCTGTGCTGTAAATTCATGAATCATGGCAATTAGGGCAGATAAGAAGATTTCTGAAAGTGTGATATGTAAACAAGTCTTGCAACAAGAACGGCCTTGAAGACCAAGGGTGTCCCACACTCGTTTTTGTGCGTGTAGTCGAGGCATTGGGATATTTTCTGTGCTTAAGCTTTGACATTCTAAAGGCAGCAGTGCAGGTACAGTGCTCACCTTGCTGCAGGGTGCAGTTTGTGACTGGGTGCATTGCAATGCAGGCAAGCTCGAGCTCAGCTGCTCAGCTGCCTCTTGCTGAATGGCATGGATAATGTGTGAGAGCTGCTTTTTCTAAGGAAAAGGGTACAGAGAATGTGTCTGTCCTCTTCTCTGAACTAGGCTGTCTTGTCTCGGGTTATTGTGATGTATAAAATTAGCCTAGTTGTGTGCTTTTAGAGCATTTAAGTTAGAGCTCTCCCTTCTTGGAGCTCTTCCCTCTTTCATAGGGTGTTCCTGCTGTAGTTCGTGGAGACTCCAGCAGAGATCAAAGGCCTGGTTTGCCCAGCATCATCGTGAGGGAGCTGTACAAGCACATCCTCACAGGCAGTTGTTACCCCAGTGAAGCTGGTAGCCTAAATCAACCAGGCAGAAAAGAAAGGCGAGGAAAATAAGTCTCACTTTAGTTTTACCAGCGAGGGAAATTGAGAACTGTGGAAGTTGCAGTGAATTGGCTTAAATGGAAATGGGACAAGGCTCAAGGGAGATGAGCTGCAAAGCAGGGAGTGAAACCTAGTTGTCTTGCGCTTTGCAGCGTGCCAAAGGTGGATTTAAGTAAGGGACTGAAGGGGCTCTGCCACCTCTTGCAGGGTGCCCGTCGGGCCTTATGACAGTAAGAGGCTGCACCAACTGTCCTGAGGTACTGCCACCCCCTGCCACCTTTGTGGAATCAGCAACCAGATCGAGACT